ACAACCCAAAAAATGAAGCAGATGCGTCTTCCGAAGAAAAAGAATTAACGATAGATGAACCCATGGAACTCGAAGAACTTCAAGAAAAACCTAAAAAAGATGATACAAAGAGTGACAATAAAAATAAAATTCAAGACATAAAAAGTAGTTATATACACGGCGATACAGTAAAAGATAGCATTGAAAATGAAACTGATGTCGTTACTAATGAAGTTCAAGTAAAATACAAACAAAAAAGTACTAAGCGTCGTGTAGGTAAGATTCGAAAAAAAGGAAAATTGTCTTTCAAGCGTGCAATGTATGGTAGCAAGTACGTTACTAAAAATAACGAAGTACAAGAAAGTGAGTACGACGTTAAGTATTTGTACACATTTGGTGATAATTATCGAGGTGGTTTAAAACGTGGTCATGAAAAATGTTTGGATACTTGTAAAGGAGTCCCACCGAATAAAGGTTGGATAACGGATTCAGATTTAGCTAAAGTAAATTATTTTTTTTATACAACTCTGAAAATTTTATTTGCAAAAGTAGAATTTAATAAGCAATCGTTTTTATAAAATATTATTATTATTCTTATTTTTATTATAGTATTTTTATTTTATTTATTAATATTATAATGTATTTTATATTGAAATCGTAATAACTATTTTAACTTCATACTTAAAATCTAAAACACGTAATTTTAATACATTTCCTCCCCCACATATTACAATATTTACCAGGGCTTTGCACCCGAATTTACCCGAACCCGTAATACCCCTAAAAATTCTTAAAAAATGAAACACCTAAAACCCATGTAATCCTAATGATTTTTTTTTTTAAACTCCCGAATTAACCAATACCCGAATAAAATATTGGTTTTAACCCGAAACCCGAATAATTTTTTATTCTACAATCTTTATGTGATATATCATTTTGTATGTATTTTTGTGGTTATTTAAATTTTGTCATTGGTTATTTAATAGTAAAATTACCATTCACAGAAATAACTTCACAAATAATGTACAAAATTGTTAATTAATCTAAATTTATCTAAATAAAGACAATAGCAATACATCATATTAACAGTTGTGCATGAATGGTATGGTATGTTAAGTGTTCAAGTGTAAACAACTTGGATACTGTTTTTAAAATTATCCCAAGCGGATACGTCGTATTATTATAATTTAATTGGTATCTATAAATACCAATTATAATTGGTCTTCTACGAATCACTGAGTCGTTATTTATTGCAATATTGTAAGTCTGAAATAGAACTGATGTCTCCCGTATGATTACCTAAATTGTTATTTGCATTATTCGTATTTGTTCAGTGTATGACGTGTAGTACACATCTATGTCATGAAATTTCAATTTTTGTTGGTGTAATAATTTCATCGTAACATTCATAAGTACAAATTATTATTATTTTTGTATTACGCTATGTCCTAGCTAGTACGTATTTAGTGTGTGCACGCATTACAAACCATAAGCGGAAATTTGGTGAAATTTGTGGGAGGGCTGAGCATTATTTGCTTATTATACCTATAGATACCACTGTGCGCAGTTATTTAATAGCAGCAATTTACGAAGTTTGACAATTTGACATTTTTAATCAACAATTTAAACAAAAAACCAATTAGGTGCCTTATCTTTAACATTTTTGGAGTAGGTATTCTAAACAGAAATTATTAATTAATTAAATTGAACAACCTATATGGGTGTTATTATATATTATTAGTATTATATTAATTGTGATCGTTCCAAGTCATGACAAGAAGTTTGTAAAACCTTACAAATTTGATTTAATTTTTATCACAGATTTTTTTTTTTTTTAATTCAGTTATTAAAAATGCATTTTACAATAATAATAATTATTTTATATTTAGTCACTTAACAATTTTTAGGGCTATGGGGCTAAGACCTGTACTTTATATTTTTGGGGGGCTTAGTCCCCTCAATTCCCCCCCCCCCCGATTTCCACCTATGCTACAAACACAAACGCAGAATACAAAATTGTTTTTTGTCGCATGTGATATGTCCGCATTAACTAGGAGTAGGACATAGTATTAGTATTTTTAATCTTAATAGATATTATATTTTATAAACTTCATACACATATAAAATAATCCCCTCTTCCCCGAAAATAAATCGTAGTTACACCATTGCTTGAAATTAACATAATAACAGTTTGGTCTAAAAAACTGTTGCACAGTTGTATAAGAAATTAATATTTTATTACATAGGCAAGTAACAAAAAATATAAATATTTCATTAGTGGAAGGGGCTCAGCCTCCCCACCACCCTCCACCAATGAAAAATAATATTTTTCCTTGACTACCAGTATTAACCAATATTAACCCGAATAATAACGGTTATTAACACCCAAACGTTTGTTTAAATGTTATATTGCGGTGTTTGAACACCCGAAACCCGAAATCCGAAAAAATGATTCGGGTGCAAAGCCTTGATATTTACTTACATCATATGAAAATTAAATGTGGTACAATCACAGAACCCAAAGGGAGCAAATAAATAAGATATCTACCTGTCGATTCTCCATAGTTTTTTTTCTCTTTATATTTAAGCATTCTCTGTATTGATTATTTTCAGTTATTGCAGTTTTTGCTAAACTTAATCAACAGATAATAGTTATTTTTACACTGTAATTCATTTTCCTAACATGTATTAAGTGCCGAACAATATGTTGCGTGTTAAGTGTACGTACTCGTATTATGCGCGCACATAATTAATGCACTGCCGATTAAAATGCATATTTAATATAATATATAATTTTTACATCAATATTGTCACTACAGAACAGGGAAAAAATCAGTTTGAGGAAAAAGTTGCACGATGAAAAAGAACTAATTTATCAGATGGAACTCGCTTTGAAGAATAAAACTTTGGAAATGAAAGACGATCAATCGAACGCGACGGTCGATTCGAATAAATCCATGAACTCGAAGGGTGACATTGAAGCTCGTGATCGCACGAGGATCGCAAAACCATTGCTGGATTTGAACAAATCCAACGGCTTGTACACGATCACTATGAACTCGATGGAGCAAAATAATAAATCGGTCGAGCCGGTCGTATTCAGATTGAATACAACAATAAATAATACGGAGTACGTTAGCTCCAGTTCCAGTTTACACATGGAGTTTCTCCCGCCAGCGGCGATGTACGCTGCGCATCCTCGTGCTAAGCGACATCACGTTTCTACTTCGTACGATAGAGTGCACTTTCAACCAGCCGAAGAATTGAAAAAAAAATAAAACCTGTAGGAGTACCAAGCAAGACACGCAATACAATTGTATAACCGTAACGATAACTAAATCTAGACGTACGTCTCACCAGCCCAACCCATATCGAAATTGATTATTCTCTGGTATGTAACCTTTAGTATGTCATTTGTATGTATTTGAATGACCATTCCCGCCATTTGTATACCAATTAAATTCGAGTTATATCAAAAATAGAAGGAGCGGACTGGCAAAATGCCACACCAGCCTGCCCACCCCTAAAATTCAAAAATTCACTACGCCATTTGTATGGATTTGTATGAATCATTTCAACCCTTAATTTTCAAAACTATCCTTGGGCGGACTAAACCACTAAACGTTTACAAAGAAAAATTGTTAGGATACGTTTAAATAAAAACACATTAATTGGTTCGAATAAAGAAAATTTTAAGTTATTAGATGTGTTACCTTTTGAGTCTGTATACAAGAAAATAATTATTGTGTATATAATTAAAAACTTTGAATCCTATATGGATATGAAAAAGGCGGGAATGGTCATACAAATACATACAAATGACATACTAAAGGTTACATACCAGAGAATAATCAATTTTGATGTGGGGTGGGCTGGTGAGACATACGTTAAATCTAGTACACAATACTCTTTTTTTATTTTATTTTTTTTTATTTCACTTTTTTTTTTTTTATATTGAAGTCACTTGTTATCCAGTCGGCTGTTTTAGCAATCTATACAGAAGCAATAGTTAAAACGAATCGCATAAAAGCTAAATTTGCAAGAAGTTGTTTCGTCACGTTTGCTGTGTGTGTGTGTGTGTGTGTGTGTGTGTGTGTGTGTGTGTGTGTGTATGTGTATGTGTGTGGGCATGTTTAGCCGCGGCATTGTTTTCACCCAACACAATGCCCGTACACATACAGTGAATGCGACGAGACAACTTCTTGCAGATTTTGCACGGGGGAACGATTTAATTATTCACCATGCAGTTCAGATTCGGCATCCGGTGATTTTTCATCATTTTTTACGCATGAAATTGTCTGTGGATGGCCAAAACTTCAGCAAAGGCCATGAGGCGAAATGATTTGTTAACACGTGGTTACAATCGCAGACGACAACTTTCTATGATGAAGGAATACAAAAAATAGTACCCCGGAATGATGAGTGTTTAAATAGTGATGATAATTACTTTGAAAAATAGCGTTCTACATGTGTTTTACATTAAAAGAAATGTATTTCAAAAATTTACAATTTTACACGTTTTTATTGCCCAACGGTATTTACTTTCTTTTTTTTTTAAGCACCTCGTACTTAAATTAATGTTGTTTAAAATTTTAAAAAGAATATCGAACAAATTACTAAACTACTTAGTAGTTGAATAAACCATACAAATTATTCGATTTACCTTTTAATTTAGTTATGGTTAATGAAATTGTATTGTTGAATATGTTAAGTTCATTTAACTATATATATAGTAAAAATTAGGTACAAACTACATTGTATAGTAGAGATACCAAAATAAACCAATAAAAATTACTAAAATAGATTTTTTATTAATTTCAATAATACCATTTATTTCTAGTTACTTTGAAATTTGATAACGTTTATTATACTGTTTAGTTGCAGTGTTGTTAACCATATATTCGATTTGTAATCACCATCGCGTTGCGTGCGATTAACTGCGGTTAAACCCAATTTTATTTTGATTTCGTATACAACAATTTTGATTTTAATAATTAAAATAATGTATGTATTAGGCAATTATGGCTGATGAATTTGTTGTTAACATTTTAAAAGAACTTTCATTAAGTGAAAACATAATTCAACTATTCAAAGGTAAGATAATTATTATAAATATACTTAAACATTTTAATAATAAATAATGTAAATATAATCTACCTACATAATATTATTAAGTGAAATAATTTTCAACATAATTTATTAACAGATGAAGAAAATTATCGTTCTGCATTTGTATGTTTAACTGAGTATATGTTGGTTAATTTGATACCAAAAATAGACCAAAGAGCTAAAATCCTGAATAAAATAAATGAATTAAAAAAGTTGGAAGAAATTAATGAAAATCAATCAATGATAAGTACTTATATTTTATATCTTATTTCGCTCATTTCTGCTCTCATAAAGTGTAGAAATAGAAAATGTGAATATTCTGCAATGTATATTATATCATATGCCTGTATTCTAAGATATGTAATTTAAATAGCTGTAGAATAATTTTTTCCCTACCTATGGTCAGATCAAAACCAACTATGCTGACAATATAAATTATAATTAGTGTTATTAAATAAACTAATATATGCTAAATACTGTCAAGTATCTTGCACATTTAATCATCAGATGCAACTAAAGATGTTATTATACCATATTAAACCTTGCAGTAACTACTTTAAATTTCTAAAATTGAGCATGGGTTAAAAAATTAATGACTACTCCGAGTAATATATGTTATGATGATACTAAAGCAAATTTAACTAATTTGAGTAATGTAATAATTTTGTCAGAGCCTGTAAGTATTAAGAATTATTTATGATTTTGGAAATAAATAAATAAATTATTACTCTGTTATGTGTTAATGTTCCTAATGAATATAATATTTTTTATAAAATAATTTAGGAAAAGAAAAGCAATGTAAAAGAAATCCTGTTAAATCACTCTGAGGGAAATATTATTTTAAATTTTTATGAAGCTCATCAATCTTTAAACAGTCTTATGAGAAATAAAATGACTCATATTATCATCACTTCCATGTTACAAAAATTTGAGAACCAGACTTTACAAACACACTGTTTAAAGGCTTTATTCTTAGAGATCATTCAATTATTTCCAACAGAAACCTCTGAGACTTATTTTATTCCATATAAAAGAGAAGGAAACAAAAATACATCTAATAGAGGAAAACTTTGTGATAAATATTGCAATCTAAAAAAAATAATTAGAAAAATTTCAAATAAAAATAAATCTTCTAAAACAATAACTGATAGTTCAAGTTCAAACCACTCCATTAACTATGAAAGTACCTACTTAATTTATTTTTTGATTATTATTGTTCTTATTCTAGTTTTTAAAATTCTCTTCTTTTACAAACACTAGGAATTGAAGATGACATGCTTTGGTTGAAGAATAATGTAGCTCTTTGGGAAATACTTTTAGAGAAATGGGATAAGACTTTTCAACTTCGATACAATAACTGCGTTAAATATACCAATGGAAAAAACATGCATTTTAAAGATTATCCAGGGTTAAAAGCTTCAACAGCATTTGTATTGGTTGATTTAAACATTAATTAATATAATTAAAACTTTAAAATACTTACTAAAATGTTATTCTTGATTTAATTTTAGATTGAGAATGATTATAATAAATTATTCCCTGAGAAAGAATTTACTTTCTTTGTAAAATTTGAATATTTTAAGGAACAACTTATTAAATATATAGAAAAATTTACAGTTAAATTTAAAGAAAAATGTTCAGTTTTAATTAATGAGTTACAAACTCCTAGTTCTTCGGGAGAGTTAAAATATAATATGAAATAATAATTTAATATTAAAATATTCAGTTTTTTAATATTCTCTAATTGATTTTATAACTTTTGTGTTACTCCTCTTCTTTCAATTATAAGAATATTATTTTTTAATTTTTAGGGTATGAAGATATTGCTGCTATAAAATTGTTAATGGAACTGTTTTCTCCAATTAATATAAAACGTAAAATTGGATCAAACTCTAAAACTCAATAGCAATTAATATAATTAATACAATTAATATCTAAGTGGTACAATAAATCGGTTATACCTAGAAAACATGTACAAATATTAATAGAGGACATCAATTTTTCTCAAACTCATTTAAATATTTTTAAAGACGAAGTCATAAATATTTTAAAATTAAACAATGCTACTTGCAGTAGTATTTCACGTATTTCATCAATGTTTGACATTTTAGAAGATCCTTTTAAAGAACTAAAAACTGAACATCTTAGATTAAAAGCTCTGGAAAATTTAGGTTTTTTCATAAAACCAACTGAAGTAAAAATAGGTAGTAAGAAAAAAAAATTAGGGGTAATGATGCAGGAGAAATTAACATAATTCCTATTAATATTTATTTTATTTCATTAAGGTCAATTTTTAAAGTTTTTTTTTTTTTTGAATGTCCAAATGTTTTAAAAACAGTTATAAACTATTTAGAAGGGCTTTATTAAGCTAAAGGAAATATTGTTAGTAGTTTTGTTCAAGTAAATGATAATTGGATTTTAAAACGAATTAATAATCCTAATAAATTATTTATACCATACATTTTGTTTTTTGATGATTATGAGACAAATAATCCATTGGAGACACATGCAGGTATACAAAAATTAGGAGCCATATATATTTCACGTCCGTGTTAGCCTTCCAAATATTCTTCTAAGTTAAATAATATTTTTTAGCACATTTATTCAACTCAACTGTTAGAAAAAATTTTGGAAATAAAATAATTTTTAATAAATTAATCGAAGAAATTAATTTTTTAGAAATTACTGGTGTTGACATAGTTGTTGATGATAAAAATTATAAATTGTATTTTTCTCTAACATTAATAGTTGGAGATAACCTAGGTCTACATTTGATCTTAGGTTTTTCTGAAAGCTTCATGGCTAACTTCCCATGCCGATTTTGTATAACTTCAAAAGCAGAATGTAATACCCAAACTACTCAAATATCAATAGACTTAGAAACATGGCAAACTATTCAGAGGATTTAAAAAAACATGAAGAATTTGATAAACAGCGTTAAAATTATAGCTCAATCATTTGGAGTTGATTCAGAGACAGACTTAAATCGTTATCACCGAACCAGAAAGCGACCTAAGTAACTTAATGAAAATATTGACAACAGTGCTCTTTATGAATTGTTAAATTTTTACAGACAACAGTTTAATTTAGTTTTAGATACATTGATTAATTTAATAAGTTCAAATTTAAATGTTTTTCTTGAAACTTTTCAACCCATATATAAAATATTAAGTGTTTCATTGAAAGTGAACTCTTTCAAATTCAGTGAATTTCAGTGAAGTCTTTTCTCTTTTCCCTCCTATGAGTCATGAAGCCAAACTCTTGGATTATGATACAGCTGCAGCAGAATGGGAAATACTAGGAGGCCAATGTGTTAATAAAAATTTAAAATGTTTAGATGTACTTCAAAAATCGGAAGAAGTAAAACATATATTATCTTGGGCTATTGGTTCTACCGCCTTTCATTTACTTCTCCAGTTACAACAGCTTCTAGTGAACGGACTTTTAGTAAGTTGAAACTTATAAAACATAATTTACGTTCTACAATGACTTCAAACCGTCTTAGTTCGTTGATGATATTGAGTTGTGAAAAAGATACTGTTGATAAATTATTTATTGATTCTGTTGTCACAAAATGGTCTTTGGCTAAACAAAGAAGAGTACCTACATAAAAATACATTAAATTATATTTTATAATTAATTGTTTACTTTCTTTTATACAATGTTTTCATCATTATTTTGATGCATGTATTGCCTAATATAATACTTTAACATTTAAGAAATATATCATAAATAAATATATCAATAAATAGTACACTATTTATAAATTTCACAGTTATCATTATTGGTTACCATCTTTGTTTTACTCCTATATAATAACAATAATAAATAAAAAGGTATACCTTATATAGATTATATTATATATTTTAATAAGAGAGATATAATAATATAATTAAATAAAAGTAATAATAAAATTAATACATAGATATTTAGATAGCTATTATTAAAGTATCAAAATATGTATTTAAAATAAAAACCATAAAATATGAAAAATAAAAATAATGTTTTTTGATTCAGTAAAATAAGAATCAAATTTGTGTCTAAGTCAGCATTAAAATGAATAAATAGAAAAAAAAAATGCAATTTCATAACTATTTGATCCCTAATTATTGCTATAGGAAAATGTAATTTTTATAATATTTAGTATACAGTCGGCAGATTTATGCTTGAAAGTCGGCAAAATTCACTCCAAACCCCCTAAAAATAAACTCTAGGATCGTCCTTGCATATTGGTATGAACCGCTAGAATTTATTTTTCAGTTTCATCTACATTGTCTCACCACGCACCGTGCGTAATTGTACCCCTGTCTTCCTTGCACAGACACGAAAAAAAAACACATCGTGGTAAAATCAACATATTTGCTCGTTTTACGCAGAATCTAAAATGTGGTATTTTTTTTTATTTTTTTTTTAACAATATGTTATTAAGGTACACGCGAGCCCCGTATTGTTCGTGCATTAAATGTGTTATCCGATTTTATTTTAACGTAATATAACCCCGGTATTCTCACCGTACGGATTCTTAGAACTGAAACATATGGAAACCCTAAAAGGCCACACACACTACGATGAAACACAACAGTTCATCGTTGAATGATTTTGCCCATACACTATAATAAAACACAACTGTTTTTATCGTGCTGCATCGTCATGAATAGTAATCAAACAATTCAAATTTAAAACTTATGTTGAAATTAAAAATCAATAATGTAGTTTATGCTGCACGATACGTGCGCGCAGAAAATAAACACGTCAGTTTTTATCAAAGAGTCCGCACAAATGTGCGGACTTAACTTATTTTTCATTTTTTAAGAACTAAAAATAAACCGAGACCGAAATTTTAGTTTTTTTTTTAACCGAAAATAAACCGAAACCCAAATTTTAGTTAGTTTAGAATCGGCATCAAAACCGGAACCGATTTTTTTTTTTTCTAAGTACCGAACTGGAACTGGATCCGTATAATTCATCAAGGTTTCGGTCCCTGGTTATAACTGTCTTCATAATTAAAATTTAAAATAAATTACAAAAAAAAAATTAAATTCATAACACTTGAAATTGTTTGAGTAATACGTTTGAATAGGGTTAATAAATAAAATCGTAGTTATATACTTAAATGAAAAACAAAATAAATTTGATAAGTAATCAAAATTAATCATAAAACGATTCTGCGTACAGTTTTTAATATCACCAATAATGTTTTCGGGATTTTAATTTATAACCATTTTTTGTTCTGTAGTTGTTAGCTATTTAATCTCGCTTGAATTATTGTATTTTTTAATTTCACTAACACATTAAATCGTTATTATAGCATATGACTTGTGTCTCAAAAATAAATTAAACTGTCTGGGACTGAATATAAAAATATAATAAAAATCATAATGTAATACAAAATCACATAATATACATAAGACCAAATTTGTCATAATTTTTATTTATTTTTTGTAATTTTAGAAAGAAGGCTCTATAATCCGTTCCAAAAGAGAAGACACGAAGCGGCGATCGATTTTTGTTCGGCGGCGCGCATCCCCCATTCACGACTATTGTGTGCCGCATTTTAATTACGGTGTATACATCGTCGGCAATGATCGGAAATAGACTTCGTAAAATTCACCGAGTGAAACAAACCCTGATGGAAGGGGAGAAATGCGCAGAAACCGTGTCTTCTCTTTTGGAACGTACTATATGTTTAATGACGACCCGGCGGAAATTAAAAACCGTCGCGTTTCGTCGTAGCGTGCGAGGCCTTTTATGTATACATATATCTGCGGTCAACCATTTCCACGCATATATTTACGTATCGACGCCGCAACTATCGATTTTACACCCCCCCCCCCTCCAAAACTCCACAACCACCGAACAGTGACGTCGCACGAAAAGTGGTTTATGGGTATTTCGCGCAACGCAATACGATATTCTCTCCGTAAATAATTGTAAGCACGGTATCTGTTACTTGGCCGTTGGCTGCATTGTACGGATCGATACGTCGAACGCTTCGCAATGTTCTACCTCTACCGTAATTATTATTGAGCGGCCGTAACAAGCAACACGTAAAAAGTGTCGTAGAAGTGGTTTATAGCTGTTTTTACTTCTACAAGCTCAGAACGCGTTCGGTTAACTCGTATTTCGTCCTTGCCGTGTCTCTTTCACATTACCGACGTTCAACGTAAGTATTATTATTATTATTATTCTCGTTCTGTATTATGCCACACCCGTAACTTAATACTTTAACTACTGCTAAAAATTGTGCATTGTGTTTTTCGTACTATTATAGTCTGAATTTCATAAGTGTTGCGTATAGTATATCCAAATCACACATACGCGACGTTTCATTTCATCGTACTACCCAGAATAATGGCGGACGACCAGACCACATCAATCGATCAAGTCAAACCTATCGAACAAACCGCACCAACCGATCAAGTTGCACCCATCAATCAAGCCGCATCAACCAAACAAGTCACACCCATCAATGAAGCCACAACAACCGATCAAGTCATACCCATCAATCAAGCCATAACAACTTCCCAATCCTTATCTGCAGACTACGAAGCATCAACTTTTCAATTCTCATCCACAAACTACGAAT